TGATTTGAAGTGTTACTATGAACTTTTGAGCCTGAATAATTTTCGTTATGTTTATATTTCATGTGCATTTCTCGTGAAAAGAAACACCCTTGGAAACCAACAACTTTAAACCCATGAAATTAACCTGGGAATTGTTCTACTTTTGAAAAGCTTTAACCTAGTCATAACTTTTGAATGGTTGGTTTTAATGCTTTCATCTCACATGTGTATTATTTTTCTTGTGACAAGGTCTAACCTTAGGTACCAACAGTTTTCATTTTCTTCCCTTGATCTTTGAGTTTGACCTACTTTTGATAAACTTCAATCTTGGACATAAAATTTCTAATGGTTGGTGTTAGGCTTTTCATATTTCATGTGTGTATTTCTTGTGATAAGATCTTTGCTTGGGCAGTATTAATTTCGATCATTTGCCATTGACTTAATGTTTGACCATCATTGTCCATGGCTTTTGAACAATTGATACCAATTGATTAACTTTTATTTGAGAAACATTTAGTCTTGCAATGAGCTGCCATACAACACATTTTATTTTACTTACTTTTAATCACAATAGCATAAAATAAAAAAAAAAAAGCACATGGATCATTTGATCATCAATATATTTTTTCCAGGTAACACATCTTCAATTTGCTTCTTGAGTGTTTTTTTTTCAACCAACAATTATTTCAGGGTTGAATCTAAGGAAGAAAATGATGAATCACTATTAATATAAAATAGATTTTTCAAAAAGGGTATGTTGTTTACCAATTTATGCCTCTTTTTTAAAAAATCTAATTAAATTGAACTAGTTGTTTAGTTTTATCAGTGATCTTACAGACTTACTCATTATTCTGTTCACAAATAAAATACAGTGCTCCACCGCATGCGTAATCAGACATTTTGTCATGGCTACCTGCCCACAACATTGCGCAGTTTTCAGCAGCGTGACCATTCGGTTCGTGTGCACCCCATATCGAGGACACGCCTATCGGAGCCTGATTGGATGCATATATCCACGTGGTTTCTTCCACCATGTCAGTTATTCCCAACCAAAAACTTTTCCCCGCTACAATTGGGAAAAGAAACGTTTTACTTGGTTATAATTTAAAGGTTTCCACATACCTAAAATGAAGAGATATTAGCATCATCTGAGCACTATACCAAGCAGGGACAAATTTCACAATCCCTTTAAAGGGTTACTTGCTTAGTTAAAGCATTCATTTTTTTCTTCCTGTATAATTAGCAATAAATGAATTAATAAAGTTAGTAATGATTCTGTAATTTATGCCCAACTTAGCTTAACTTTTGGGACTTTGGAGTACTGGAAGCAGAGGTCAAGAATTTCCTACTAAAGTGTAAGTGTTGTCTTGTTTATTTTGATCATACATTCAGGTGGTCTGATACATATATATGTCCAGCAAAAAAATATTTTAAGAAAAATAAATGACATATATGAAGATAACGAATAGTATTCAAGTTCAAAGTCCATAATACAGTATAAAATAGCAGAGCAAACACGGACCTCCAAAAATCAGAGGTGGGATCAGGTGCCATGGAGGAGTTAGTATCCTCTGTCGACCGGTCGCTTCCGTCGTGTGCTCCTTTCCATGATCGGGAAATAACGGTAAAATCCGTCGTCAATTCAGTGTGTAAATAATGACCTAACAGTTAGTATGAAAAACGTCAGTCAGCATTTGACTCATTATGATAAAATTATTTGCTGACAAGGTCATTGTATTGGCCACAGAAATTACGAAATGATGACTTTGGACGAGGCTGATGGTATTCTTGTTTCATCAACTTGTTTGTCAATAATTAATCTCGTTTTAGAAATTGTACACACGTAGAGCATGCTCCTTCTCTATGTCGAATCAACTGAGATATATAAACCCCGTGTGCAGGCGATGAAGTTATATTGCTTCATAAGCAAGGGAAGTTGAAGATTGTAGATTACCATTAACGTCTTTTTCAAGTCAAATATCCAAATATGAAACCGATGTGTCAGACTCTATGGTATCTTTACAATGTGACACCATTGCCCAATAATTAACCAGACATCTTTCTTTGCTTAACCATAACTTACGAGAAATACAATAGAATTCATAAATTGTGACTCTAAAAAATATGACATACGGTATTTTTGAGCATGACTGGATAGAAAATGGGCTTCCACTTCCGTTTGTGGCTCTGCCAGTTTTGAATTAAATGCCTCACAGTAACTCTGAAGAAAGAAAATCAATCCAGTTAATTGACAAGGAAAGAAATTTTTTTTTCTCTAACATTGAACAATATTTATACATGTAATGAATACTTTTACGCATAGTTAAGAATGTGTTGCTTTCTTGCATGCATAACTTTAAAAAAGGATAAAATCTCGTGTTATCTGATCTTACAGACGCCACGCCCCAGTCTCTGGCTAAGGTACTGAAATGATAACACTTGCTTTGAAATTGTATCCATCCCGTTTTGCACCCAGCTGTATGAAAAAATAATTTTTAAATGAAAGAAACTCACAATTCTCTATACTTTTTCATTTACATAAAACATTTTCATAATATTCTATGCTTTGACATCTATATTCATTTTTTCCTTTTTAAATAATAGCAGTAGGTCTTGAACGTGTATTCTGCTTAAAATACAGATAAACTCTGTGAAGAAGGATTCTTAAACCATTGCTTTAATCAGTAAAACATATCAAATTAAATATGAAATTCATTTAAAATTGTAATAGAAGTGTTCAGATATATTAAATTCCTTTACATGGCAAACAAATTTTAAATGAAAAAAATATGTTGCATCAAGACATTTGAAATTAACGAACTAAAAACGTAAATACCAAAAACACAATGTCCACACGAAATAACGATTAACAGTACAAAATAAAGATCCATGTCAGTATTATAGAGACCAGGCTATATGTCTTATCTCTAAGACAATTGCGACGGACCCAAATGTTGTAATCCGGTATGATATGGACAGAAATAAATATTGGTATCAAAACGGTTAATTCTGTGTGTCAAATACTAAGGATCTAAATCTGAAATTTGGCTTCAATACATTATTACAATATTTATATTACACCATTTTGAAATTATATGTAAGTTATGTAATAACATACTATTAAAGAAACCATCAGCAAAATTATTATTAAAAAAAACTTTACAAAATATACTTTTTGCCTTTCTTTAAATCTAAAAATACTAGCAAATCAAATAAACTAGGGATGTCAACGAATAGTCGACTATTCGACTGTCAGTCGAATGGACCGACGATCGAATAATGAAACAACATTCGAATATCTAATAAATGCAAAAAGGAGGTGTAAAAGAATTCTCAACTCAAAATTGTATAGCGTCATTCCTCAAACCATTATAGAAACCGTTCTCTGTCGAACAAGAGCTTAAACACAGTCACAGTATATAAATGAGTTTCCACATTGTAAACATAGAAAGTGCAGTAATTACATACCGCGATAATTATTTCTCAATTACTGACCTTTAGTGTTATTGTAGTAAATTATGCAGCCCCTTACTGGACTTTGAAAATTATTAATTGGTCTTGTACCAATTATAAATTTGTTCATTACCTCTAAGAATGTTAGGAAACACAGCATAGCCGTAAAGTTTTGAAACTTCGATATTTATTAAAACAATAGTCTCCTCCCCTTTTCCAATTTATTTTGATCAGCTTTATAATAAAAACACTCTGCTGACAATTCTCTAAGCGTACTAGAACGCAAGAATGTACAGACCGATTTATGAATGTGATTGACGAAAATTCATACATTTTGGAGAATCAGTTGCTGGTGTAAATCTATTTCATTTCTACATCTTATTCCAACTTAAGGCTCATCTGAATATCGGTGTGTAACACATAGTATAGGCATTTAATGTTACTTTTTACGTAAATTTACGAAAAGGGTTTTTGATTTGTAAAAACGCTTACGATGAGTTTTTTTTTCTCAAAAAATGCTCCGAATAGTCGACTATCTTTCGAATAATGCAATCGAATGTTCGACTAAAGAAAATAAATATTTTGACATCCCTAAAATAAACCGATCCCGCCTCCATTAACAACGAAGAAATATTTTGTATACTTATCAACCGCTTTCTTCTTCCAATTCTACCTGTACTCTTGCTGTCCTTATTTCTTTGCACTTTTTCTGTTTTGTACATTTGTTTGTTGTACATCAAGCGTATGATTTTGAATATGTCATTTTGTTTGTGTTGGAGAGGACAATTAAGTGCGTAAAACTTGTGTCGAGTAGTGTCCAACCCTATTCGTTATGTTTCAATAAAATATGCTGAAATCAGGGAGAACAAGTTGATCTTGTTTATCAAACCTTGAACTGAAATTCTATCTAGTTCTGAAATAAAGCATACATCACATTCAATAAATATAATAATCTCATTTAAATCCAACACAAGACAAAGTATAAAATGTTTATAAAAAGAAACACTTGGGAATCATTACAGCTGCTCATTTATTAGTTGATTCGTTATCAAACTTGCTTCAATTCTTTCGCCCACCATTTGTTTCCGAAAACATGACCAGAAAGAACATGATTTCTTTCACATTATTCTTCCTATTGAGTATTCTACAGATGTCCTTAGGTGACACGTGTGAAGAAAGACTGAGTAAACTGGAGACAGTTATAGAGAAGCTCGAACCGAAAGGCAAAGCTCAGTTTGCTGGAAACGAGATAGAATATGGAGTGTTTAGTGAATCAAGTCTTAGGAGCAAAGAGCAACGATTGGAGTACAAAGGACTGAAAATGGAGAAAAGAATGCAAAACATGGAAATGTTTCTAGAGAGGAGAATCAAAACCCTTGAAGAGAAGATGGAATCAATTTTTAAGAAAATGCAGGAGAATTTTCAAGAAAAGTTAAAGGACATGGAAGAGAAAGTGAAAGATTTTAATGATCAGAAAGTCAAGATAAAAGTTATGGAAGCTAGGATAGCCGAATTAGAGATGAAAAATACCGGTAATTCTTTTGAAGAGAACCTAAAGAGGGGATATGAATCGGATAAAAAGGGCATGGGCACCATTTTAAAAGCAAAAGTGAGTGCAAAAGAGATGAAAATTATAAAAACAAAACAAATAGTCCAACCAAATTTATTGCAAAATTCATATTCAAAGGTCTTCGGAAATACAGGAAATGAAACTTCGCTTGTTCATCAAAGGGAAGTTAAACAAAAATCACTGACATCACCGACATCAGCACAAAAACGTCTACTGACGGGTAAGAGAATGCTTATAACCTATAATAATCACTTGTCTCTAACACCTCAAGATATTACTAGTATTATATACTTTAATATATAAAACATATCTCGGCATGTCAAGAAGCATATTTCATTAATCAATTACAATTACTCAGAAGTGTTTTAAAATAATGTTAATTCAATCAAACTAAAAAATACATGTATATAAATGGAACCAAATATAATTATAAATCAAAACTGACTTCTTGATATATGTCTTTCAGGAATTCAGACAACAAGTTCTCCTTTTCTGGACGTGGTGGCTTTTTCGTCCTATATTTCTACGTATGAAACCCACCTTACAGAAGACCACACGATAAAGTTCGATAAAATCGTTACCAACATTGGCAACCATTACAACCCGCACTCTGGACTGTTCACAGCTCCACAGCACGGTGTATATGTGTTTACATGGACCCTCTACTGTGCTAGAGATGGCTTTATCTATTCTCAGCTGGTAGTCAATTCCAATGTTGTAGGGGCGATGTTCACAACAGCCCAGGGAGCTGGAAATATTCGAGCCTCAACTTGGATTGTAGTGGTGGAAATAAATAAAGATGATGTGGTGTACATCCGTACACTTCCAAATGGACAGAGTCATTCGGGGAGTCTATACAGTTATATTAATTATAGATCGTCTTTCAACGGTTGGAAGCTTAATTAACGAAATGATAAAACATTATATTGCTGATAATTTAGAGTCTGCTGTACAATATTTATGGAAATAAAGTTTGCTAATTTTCAACAGAAAACTTTGTTGAAAAAATGAGCATAATCTCAATTTTAAAATTTTCATTTTGAAAAACAAAAGAATGTTCTAAAGAGAGCATTGTCGTGTATTCATTGTATGGATTTCTAATTCAATAATTAGTAAACGACATTCGTCGTGATGAAAAATTACAAGATTTTAAATACTAAGTATTCGTGTTCATTATAATTACTGTTTTGTTATTTAGTTACTCTATGTGATACTTTTTCTGAAAGCTTTCTGATCCTTTATTTGTTTATTAAAATATCTTATATACCACGAGAACCATTTTAAATTAATCGAATTATCAACTGGCGTTTAACAGAGTTAATCCAATGAAGTAATTTTCACATCTTGTCGTGTACTCATTATATGAATTTCTAATTCAACAATTAGTTAACGATAGTTTTACCGAAATTTTTAAATATAAGGACTTTGCGTAAAACGTGTGATAAGGTTCAATCTTATTGACAAAAATGCAGTTTCGATGTTTTGCTATGGGAAACCGAAATATGCGTCGACCAAAAAGTAAAATAGAAGGTGCACAATGTCAGTATGTAACAAAGATTCTGTGAAAGTCTCATTAAAATACATTCAGTGGTATAAGAGGAGTTGCGAATAAGGGATGGGTAACCCAAAGTGTAACTGACGGACGTACAGCTAGACGGACGGAACGACAGACATCTCGATCACTATTCACCCATTCTCAATATAAGGGCACAAATGCCTCTCTGATTTTTTAAAAAATGAAGTTCAAGATAACAATTTTTCTATCAATTACCTTTGAAAGAAAGTATCTGAAGATTTTGTTTCCAGATTTTTTTCATCAAATTATAATACATGAAATAATGACAAGACGATAAAGTAGAGGGTGATTTTATTCAGAAATGTAGCTTGAAATGTACGTTACTCTTTCTTCAATGTCCAAAAAAATATGTCAAAAAAAATGTAGTCATTAAAATCACAATTGGAATATCTCATCTTAACACCAGCACTTCCTACCAACTCTGTCACCAACATATTTTCTCGGCAAACGAACGTGCGTTTGATTTTTCCTTTCAAAAAACAAAGGTTACTTTTTGATCCAGATGTGTAAAAACATTATTTAAATATATGCTCTCAATTCTTCTCTCTGTTTTTATTAAGAGCGATCAGTTTGGAATCTTGTCATTTTTAATAGATACTGGAACCTAACATGTACATGTAGTAAAATTCTATTTTGTAGTTATTGTCTTTTTTAACATATATCCATGCCGATTTAGAAAACTATGTAAATGTAACGTACATTTCAAGATATATTTCTGTTTGATAAAAAGCTTAAAATTCATCTAAAATTCATCTAAAAATTCATCGTTTTGTTTCAGTTTATTCCAAAAAAGATTCTCTATGTAATCACATTGTGTTATATGTCACAATCACCACTATAAAGACACGATTGCCTCAGAATATGAGTAGGTAACGTACATTTCAAGCTTGTAATAATATGAAAATTAGTAATAAGAAAATATTGAAAAAAAAGCAATTATTGACATAAAAATCATATCAATGAAGCGTTTTAAGGCAGTAATATAAGAAATCATAATGTAACAAACGAGGTTATTTCATCAACTACATGAATGTCACGTCACTTCGGTAACGTTCATTTCACATATTATTGGGGAGTCCCGTACACCTCAGTTCATAACCATTCTTTTGTGCTGTTTCGCTGAAATTGACACCGGTCGTAGCCTAGTTACTTCTAACTGTGTACAAGGTTACAGACAAAAAAATATAAGAGTCAGATGTATTTTGCTATGATCTATTGAAACTTAACATAAATCTATTCCGAATATATCCATCGACAGTCTTGTTAACAATTTCATTTAGTATGTTGCAACATCGTTTTTCAAAACACAAACATACGTGCTTTTCAGCAGATCTGGAAAAAGATAACCCAAAATGCAATGATTCAAACAAAACTGATATATTAACTCTGGTCATCTTAATGACTAATTTAGAAAAATTAGTGTGCCTTTCAGTATTTGAAATGTACGTGACCGTCTTGTGTTCTAGGTTTATTTGTTTTGTTTCTTTTTCTTTTCTTTTTTGTTTTGTTTTGTTTTGTTTTACCAATTATAAGCCTATGCATACCTTGTTTTAAATTATCAACAACAATTCAATTAATATTAACGAAAACGCACATGAAAAGTAAACAAACTGCAAAAAGGTTGCCAAAGATGAATTTAAGACACTTAGAAATAAATTTTCTAGCATGTGGTAACAGTTTAAAACATTTACGAGGATTGGGGTGCATTTAGATGTGGCCAGTTGTCAAATGGATTGTAACGATAATTTTGTTTCGCTCGTGTAAACGCAATTCATTGACTAAATTAAAAAAAATTTCAGTTAGAAATACATAAAATGTACGTTACCATACGTAACGTACATTTCAAATATAAAAATCAATTCTCTTCCACAAGCATACGTTAGACGCGCAATATATTGATACTATTTGAACCTGCATATCATAAGAAATGCATCATACAGGTTTCGTATTCAGAAATATATACCAGGTATCAAAATTATATTACATAATAATTGACCTTAATATATTTTTTTCCTCAGCAGAGACGTTTCTTTTTATTAATTTTGGGATTTAGCCGACCTCCAACCTTTGAAACTTTCCTTTGTGTACACATTCGAGTGTGTGAAAGTATTAGAATACATGAAAATTCGTGCGAGATTCACTTAATTCGAATTTCATGGTAACGTACATTTCAGTCACGTACATTTCAAATGATCACTTTTCATGTAAAAAATAATTTTTAATTGTGTTAAGCAAAACGTCTTTGCCAGTTTACAGGATACAAGGGGTTGCTTATTCAGAGTCGTCTCATATTTTCTACTTAATATGTATTCTTAATGGAAGAATATAGGTAACGTACATTTCTTTCTTATCTCTACGATTGAAAATGTCTTTCATTCCGTAAACATATTTATAAAAGTTGCTCAAGTTGTTCAATTTCATGTTACATTATCTAAGTAGGAGTAATTAATCCTTTGAAATTTCAAATTTAGCCCATCAATAAATAAAGGAGAACAAAACTATCAGGTGTATAATCTTTGTGTTTGTTTGTAATGTGGTTGAAATAGAATTAAGCGACAGGGACATTGCACAATAAAAATTATTTATTATCACAAAGAAAATGTATTTATTGTTATGAAAAGAAATATATATGATACAAGGTTTAACTTATCAGAAAATTTTTACTTGAGAATCAAAACTATATATTACACAGAGGGGATTCAGAATAATATTTGCCTCGGCGACAGTAACGTACATTTCAAATAGGCTACTATATTTGAATTTGGAACTCCTTAAATACCCTTTCAGATCGATAATTATATGAATTCTTATTCATTGTTATATGACTATATACAATGTTGATTTAAAAATTACATCAGTGGTATTTCTTTTAAATGAAAATGAGGCGACATCATTTGAGCCCTTATATTGAGAATGGGTGATTATACGCTCCCACTTTTCAGGCGGGGGAATAACAAACAATTTAATATTATATATAAGAATAGAAAGGAAAAAATCTTTCAATGTCTTCTTCTTATTTGATTGTAGCAAGCTAAGCAAGTTGGACTTCAGCAACTCCAATGAGAGTTTCAACAACACACTAAGATCAAAGATTCTGAAAGATAAACATTATAGCGATAGTGGAAGTTTGGCACACAGAGTTTCTGCTGCTGTTCGCCAGAAAAATGAGGGATACAGGTAAGTAGCAAAGGTAGTAAACATTCCTCATATTTTTATACCCCCCGCTTGAAAAGCGGGAGGGTATGTCCGTCCGTCCGTCTCTCTGTCTGTTACACTTTGGGGTACACATCTCTTATCTGCAACTCCTCTCATACCACTGAATGAAATTTGATGAAACTTTCACAGAATCTTTATTACATATTGCCATTGTGCACCTTTTATTTTCCTTTTTAATCTGACACATATTCTGGGTTTCCCATAACAAAACATGGACACTCCCATTATATTCATATGGGAGGCGGGGGGAATCATTAAGTGAGCTCATTGCTCACAGTACCTCTAGTTTTTTTGGTATTTGATATTTATAAGCTATTTTTTTCCACGAGGAGCTTTAACATAGTCCTGGAACATCAGCAACAGCGGTTGCCTCAATCAGAGATCAAGATGTAGAAAGAAAAAGGGAAGTTTCCCAGGTGAAATATGAATAAACATTCAGTAAATAAAGATGTTCATGTACTGTACAATGTTTGTGATCAGAATTATTTGATACAATTCATTTGTCATCAGGGTTTATTTTTTTGTGCTCTCTTATTACAGTATCTCTAGTTTCTGTATGATTTCGGAATAGAAATATTGGATTTAAGCGCTTACTGCTCAAACAATGTAGTCTAATACATAAATTGTTATACTTTTATTTTAAGGTAATTTGAAGGTTCATTTTCTATGTAATTGTATATCTGCTTTAATTTACCTAAATCTTTTTCCAAATATTTCTTGTTTTGAAAGTTACAAGCAGGACTATGTTGCTCAGAGATTATTGAGTGAGTCTTTTAAGCTCACAATGCCTTTGATGATTCTTGAATGCTTAATTCAATTCCTTGTCAAAAAGAGTGAACAGTTCTTTCATTTACCTTTTAATTTCCTTTATTGTATGGTTCAAGTATCTTTTCATGGTATTCAGCCACCAGTACTATCATTAGAGTATTTACAGTCAGAAAATTTCATTTCAAAAGCAAAAGCTGAAAAAAAATTGATTTTCATCACTAATATACAGCAATTTTGAATTTGCTTTTCAGAGATAAGGAGATAATGGTGTATTTTTCTCAATTGGTGAAGAGACAAATGATGGAAAGGATAGAATAAGCAACAATTCTAAAGTTTCAAAAAAGGTTCCTGATTTTTTCTTTTCATGTTAGCTATGTTATCCTGATT